TTTTTTTTTTTTTGAAGTGCGCTTGATACTAGAGTTAACCCAACTATTAATAGGAACACAAATATTAATACTGAAAAAGACAAATAGGCGGTTACAACCAAGCACACTAAAATGGGAAATAAAAAAACACAACACAACACAAACTCGCACTAGGGTTCGATTGTGGGTGGTGGGGATCGGCTAGGGGTGTAAATGAGCCGACTTGAGCAAGCCTGATGCTGGTTCATGTCCGGCTCGTTCGAAATTTCTTTTGTTCATGTTCGGCTCGTGTTTAAAAAAAAAAACTCATAAAAATTTGTTTGTGTTCTGCTTGTTTCAAACTCTTCTATTCGAATTAAGCTCGTATTCGGCTCAAAATCATAATTTATTAAGTTTTAATTAGTAAAATGATATAATTTATCACAAAAATTATTTTTTTTATTTTAAAACTCTTTTAAACGAGAATAAAACCAAAACTTAATTTACTCACACAAATCTCGCATGGCTCATACCACATGTGATACTGACCATAAAATAAAATGAAGATTCCCTTTTACTTTTTTATTCATGGTGTGGGACTATATGGAGAGGGTGTGGAATTTGGCAAGTTTTCAGCATTTACATACATACCACAAAATTCTTATGTATTTACGTATCCAACACCCATTATTTAATGTGAGCCTATGCTTGGTGGAACATGAAAGAACAAATTAAAGTCATGGGAAAAAACTAACTTCTTAGAGAAATTTACATGCATACCACCCATTTTTTATGTAGTTACATATTTAACACAAAAAATATATTTTTTATTTGCAGTCCTAGATAAAATTACTTAAAAATTAATAAAATGTAATATCTTTAAATAAAATGTAATATTTTTAAATAAAATATAAAAGTTTAATATATAAATATTATACAAATATTATTTATTTATTATTTAAGTAATTTGAGTCTAACACGAACGAACAAACTTTTGTTCGTGTTCTGCTCATTTATAAATTGAGCTAAAAAATATGTTTGTGTTAGGCTCATTTACTTGAAGAACGAATCGAATACGAATTACTTAGCAAACCAAACACGAGATATTCATGAACAACAAGCTTTTTTTACAGCCCTAAGGTCAACTGGGTGATCTGGGAGTGGTGATAGATGGTTGGAATGGGTTGTTAGGTTGCTGAAGACGACAACTACGATGGCAGCGAGGAGGAAGGCCTAGAATAGTAGTGGCAGTGAAGCGGTGGGCTAGGATAAAAAAGAGGAAGGGTTGTGGGGTGTTGGACAATAGGAGTCTTCTTGTTCTGTGCGGGGGCAGCGAAGAAGAAAGCAGTTTAGGGGTGTTAGCAATAAGGAGAAGGGGGAAATGGGGTTTTCAGGAAAGTGTTAGCAAGTTAGAAGGGAGGAGTGTGGAGGATGGGAAAATCGAGGATAAATACCACCTCAGGAGCTAGAAACAATCGGAACACAACTCGACATGTGGAGTAGAATCACCAACTTGGAATGTGATATAGCTAGAGCATCACTCCCCCTGCATACAACCATAAAAAGGAAAAATTTGAATATGTTGATCACTCCCCCTGCATACAACCATAAAAAGGAAAAACTTGAAGCGGCTATCCCGATAGAAAAATAATGAAAAATTGAATTCCAAAACCCCAATACAATATAAAGGTATCTTGAGGAAATAAAATGTGGAAAATAGTGAAATTGGAAAGAAAGCATAAAAGGAAAGAAAGAAAAAGGAAAAAAAATAAGCTCAACTCGTAGATCATCCTGTTGCGATTGTGGACAGACTTGCGATCCACTGTTTTGCGGTTTTCGTGGTTTACGAACCTGACGCTCTACGCCAGTCTCCCACGGTTGGGGAGAGCTTCGGCTTCATTTGTTGAAGCTTCTGGCTCCTCGTAGTATAGTGTTAGCTAGGGCCTCGTTGAAGGTGATAGAGTTATCGTAACATCCTAATAATTCAATTCTATAGGTTTTGTCATTCCAAAGTACATCTTGATAGAACAAGTATTCATCCTCTTAGTTAGCGTTGTGGATAAAATGAGTATTCTCACGAATCAAGTCTTAAGCCACTACATCTGTAAGTTGCTTCTCCCACTTATTGTTCTCATTGGGTGTATATGATAAAAAATTATATACAAAGTAATCAACTATGAGATAGATCTATAGCAGGTTGGGGAACTTTCACTAGCAACCACTCGGACGAGATATCTTCTTCATTTTTCATAGGACCCATTGTAGGACTTTTTTCATACCAAACTCCTAAGGCAATTTCCAATGTTGTGATTCATCCCTCCTGTCTGAGCATCTGCAAGTGGATACACTGCTGAACTGAATTTAACACTCAAATAACTCCATATGCTCTTCCAGAAGTAGCTCAAAAACTTCTCATCTCTAATAAGTTAGATCTAAGTAGAGGAAACTCAGGAGGTAAACTATATATCTGAAAATTCTGAAATTCACTTACTAAGGTTTCCATTTGTTTGGTATTAGCTCCTCAAACTCATAGCCCTTCTAAACATTTAATGTCAATTTTGATGATGCTCCGCTCAATCCTTGCATAAAGATAGTCTGAGGTTCCATAACCTCAAACTCACTATCTTCTAGAATAGCCTCGACTAATCCAGTTGGAGTCACTTGCGTGGGCTCCTCTTGAATCACTATTGTCTCTTTCTCGACTCACTATCTTCTAGAATAGCCTCGACTAATCCAGCTGGAGTCACTTGCGTGGGCTCCTCTTGAATCACTATTGTCTCTTTCTCGTCAGCTTGAAGTTAAGACTCATCTCTCGTCTTCATCATTTCCAGTGTCAATATCTATTTCTTCATCTGCAGCCTCCGAGTGAAAAAGATAATTCTCCTGGTTGGACAATTTGATTCAATATGCACAAATTTAATGCGCTTGAAACACTTCCTAGCTGGGATGGATTTGAAAATGTTGGTTGGCTTCACCTGTTACTCTTGATGCTTGATCATGGAATTGAACTCTATCTGTAAGATATGACGGTCACTTGGTGAGGTTGTCCCTCCACTTTTGAAGCGAGGGTCTAAACATCATGTCAGTTACGAATTGGTAAGTACTAGATCGTATAATAATTTTACTATTTCATTCTCGTTGTCAAAGAATTTTCATGTTCTCTTACCAAAAAGATGCCCCCTTAACATGTTGATGACTATTTTTATCGTTCAGTCTGGTGGTGCATCCTGGGACTCAAAGAAACGTTTGACTATCAAGAGTCACTTAATGAATTCATTCAAATCCATGTCATTGTCAAAATATAATAAATCTAATTTTACTTCAAAATCTTTTATTCTCTGATATTTTATGTCCACTCTTCAGGATATTAGTTCATCTCTGAAATATGTCTCGTGGAAGGGATTCACTACATTCTTTTGATCTAACAAGTCACTGTGGTGGCTACGAGTGACCTTTTTGTATTGTCCCTCTCGAAGGCAGTAAGCCTCTTTGCAGTTGGATGATTTCCAAACCCACATCCTCTATAGAAGGTTCCTAGACAACTCTTTATGGATTTTCTAAAAGATATTAAGATGCTTGTCTCATCGACGACATGATTATGGTTTAGTTGTGAGTAGATCGAAGGAGGTGTGTAGGGGTGATATAGAGTAGGAAAAAAAAAATTGTGCGGAGATAGGATTGGATATAAATGAATGCTAGAAACCCTGTGATAAGACTAGGGTTAGGCTAACTCTGATACCAAATAATACCAGAGTTAACCTAAATAATAATAAGAACGCAAATAATATTACTGAAAAAGCCAAATAAGCAGTTACAACCAAACACCCATTGAAATGGAAAATACAACACAGCACAAACTCACTAAGATTCAATTCATAGGCGGTGGGGTTGTCTAGGTGGTCAAAAAGTGGTGAAAGGTGGCTGGAATGAGTTGTGGAGTTGCTGGAAAAGGCAAAGAGGTTGGAACTGTGATGGCAATGAGGCCGAAGGATTGAAATAGCACTGACAGTGAAGCAAAAGCTTGGAACAACAAAGGGCGGCGAAGAGGAAGGATTGCAAACTGCAGAACAACAAGAGGAGTGTTGACCTGTGCGAGGGCAATGAGAAAAAAGGTTGTTTAGGAGAGTTGGAAGCAAGGAGAAGGAAGTGTGGCTTCTAGGAACGCGGCAACAAGGTGGAAGGGAGGAGTGCAAAGGATTGAAAAGTCTAGGAAAAAACCAATCTTGGGAATGAGATACAGCCAAAGCACTACTCCAATCTTAGAAGAGAATCTCCATCTCGGAATAAGATACAACTGGAGCACCGCTCGCCGAAAGATTGTGGACTATAAAACAATAAGAGGAGTGTTGCCCTGTGCGGGGGCAATGAGGAAGAAGGTCTTTTAGGGGTGTTGGCAACAAGGAGGGGGGAGGAAGTGTGGCTTCCAGGAAGGCGGCAACACGTCGGAAGGGAAGAGTGCAGAGAAAGGTAAAGTCGAGGATAAAAATCACCTCGGGAATGAGATACAGTCGGAGCACTACTCCAATCTTAGAGGAGAACCACCATCTCGGAACAAGATACAACCAGAGCACCAGTCGCCCTTAAATATAGCTCTAAAAGAGAAAATTTGGAGACGTCGATTGCTGTCTCAAGAGAAACTCACAAGAAACTTAATTCCAAAACACTAATACAACCTACATAAAGAACCCTTGAGAAAATAACCTAATTGGAAAATAGGGAAATAGGAAATAAAGTAAAAAAGGAAAGAACGAGAAAAAAAAAAGGAAAAATGAAATAAGCCTAGCTAGAGATCGTCCCTGCAGCGATCGCGGACAGACTCGCAATCAATGGTTTCGATTTCCGTGGTACGCGTCTTACGCTCTGCATCAGTGCTTGATTTGTGTTTTTTAGTATTATTTTATTTCATGTCATCTAGTAATTAGGAGCTCGGAGGATTAATGATAAATGTACTAATGTGTTGTCCCTGAACCCATTCTTGCTAGCCCATTAAACATGCCCAGTCTAACCCATTATAACTTAAAGAGATGGGCTTTCAAATGCAGCCAAGACCATTTGCACCTTCAATCAGTTCAGAGTAAAATATACTGTAGCTCTTCAGGGAAGATTCAAAAACTGGATAACTTCAAGTTTGGAAGTTAAAAAGGGGTACTAGTGGTTGATATGCACAAGCATAAAAATTATATCAGCTCCAGGTATAGGCATACAATGCAAATGGTGATCATAACCATATCTGATTCACGTAAAAAAAGTACATTACATAAAAAGCTAATTTCAAGTGAAACATAATATCAAATACACACTCAGACTCCTGCAAATTGAAGTTGTAAGCTGAAACCTCAGCCTAAGTACTTTCAGCCTAGAAATACGGAACCATTTGAGGATGTATTCTTTATGAAGAATAACGAAGGCTAAAATACTACTTTGGAATATTGCTAAAAAAATATAGGTTGCTAAAAAATCAATGTTATCTTCCAGAACAAATGGTTCCAATTAGATGTATGAATCATTTAGCTATAAGTTTGAGAGCACAATTGGCCCATCTCCTTATTTTTCTCCTCTCAAAAAGTGCTATACGTGTCAATGCACTATTGTGAGAGCTGTTTTCTCAAGCAAAGAACTTCATACTATAATTTTCAACAAGACATTTATAGTATGCTTGTTTCCCTTATGCAACAGGGAAAATGGAAGAAGGTGAGACATCCTCCAGTCTTTTTTGTTTCATCACAAAAGAAAAAAATTTCTGTTTCTGATATGATTATTCTTGCCTTTCAGTGCAAGTAGACATTTCCTCAAAAATGAGACAAAAGGAGTCACATCACCTTGATGTGAACAGATAAATGTGATCTCTTCGTTAAAAAAAAAGGGGGGCATAGCATGAAAATTTTTTTCTCTTGAATTAAGTTTAACTCTTTTATCTTGTGAAAAACAAACCAGAAAACTTATTGCTTAACCATTTTCTATGAAACTTCCAATCTTATTTAAATAGCAAACTTTCAACTCTAAAATGAAAAGAACCATACCCTCGGGCTAAATGACTAGGTAAACTAAGCTTAATTAACAACTCTAGATTAAAAAATTAAACAGTTCGAATAAAAACTTCCAGAAAAGGACTACCAATTTAAAAACATCACAATATACAATGATGTTTGGTTTTATGAGAATAAAATGATTATAAGAAAATGTAATTGCAGGAAATAACTTGTAAGAAGGCAAATAACTATATTCCAAACTGACATTCATTAAGTGGAAGATATAGCATTCATTTGATTTTAATTTTAAAATTCAGTTAAAAATATGGCATTCACGAAAATACTGCAATAGACAATTTTGTTTGTCATTATTTCAACGCTTCCAATACCTGTTTAAATAAAGTGCTTGATCCAGATCCACAAGAACCAACCAAAAGAAGTTTTTGGGTTGTCCTCTGCTCAATGTAATCATGTACAGCTCTATTGATAGAGATATTCACCTCTTCACCAAAACTTTTTGCGGCTTTGGAAGGAACTGGCAATGATAAAAAAGAGCAAAGCAACTTTGTTCTCGCCTGCCCAGCATATCATAAAAGGTAAGGATTCAGTGTGCACTATAGGAGGAAAAGACAAGGGGTTTGCATAGGCAGCAATATTATGAACTTACCTTTCCCCATATCTGACCCTTAATATTCTTCTGCCCCTCTTCCTGGTAGGTTCCATCAGAATTAACCCAAAAATGAGGATTTCCAGCACATTGAACCCCTGCCCACTGTAAGTAAAACATGATTTAGGCATTTGCATACTCCTACAGCCAATCAAAATTTGTAAATTCTCACGAACAAACCTTAAGCATTTGTAGTTCAACTTTTGTAATCTCACGACCATTTATCAATATGCCAGTGTTTCCATTGCTTGCATTTCTCATTATACTACCACCCACATTAAGATTGGGGCTAATAATTTTATCAGGCTTGTGTCCTACCTGTCCAGTTTCATACAAGTTGTGGTTATTCAACTACAATAATAAAACAAAAAAAAAAATTATGCATGCATGTAATTCTTCCCCCTTTATTTTAATATTGAAGAACATTGACATAAAGCATAAAATCAATATTCAAAATACCCGAGTCTTAAGCTATCGCATCCAATTACCATTTACAGCTCGTGCTGCATTTTATGTCCCTTCCGAAACCTAGAAGGCTTATAAGACCAAAAAAACTTACTTTGTTGACAAGCATAGGAAATCTAAAGCTACAAAATTAATCTGAAGTCTGAACAACAAAAAATAAAATGACCAGGCTTTATCTATCAGTATTATAGTACATTTGTAGATAAAATCGAGATGGAGAACTCCCAAGATAGGAAGTTACCTTTCCCCAAAATCCGGAAACTTTGTCATACCAATAGTAACCCGGCCTCAACTTCGAAGGTGAGCAAGGACAGCTCTGCAACATAAAAATTTCCTCATGAGTAAGCGGTTTCCCATTAACGCAAACGTCTTCTGGCCTAAGCTGGTTTGCCTCGCAATATTTCTCAGCCTTCATAACCTGTTCAACCTCCAGATTGCTCAGCAACCTCTTCAGCATTCTAGAGGCATTCCCCAGCCTTTCCCTCTTCGACTCATCAACCGAACCCCCAATGCAAGGGACACACTTCCTCCCTTCCGGCATGGAGCCCATTGCCTTCAAAACGCACCCACTACAATACTTTGCGTCACAAACCAAACAAACCTCCTTCTCCGTAAACCGGTTCCCTTTCAAGCAACGGAAACAAGCCCCCTTCTTCACCATCCTCACATACTCCTCATCCCTCCCCTGATAAGCAGTGATCATATCCGAAGAAACAGCCGCACTCGTTTCCGCCGAACCCTGGAAGCTCACCCCAACCGGCCTAACTTGATGGTTAATATCACTATCGCGTTCATCCTCGTACTCCTCTTCAGAGACTGAAGACTGCAATCCAAAATCAGAACTAAGGTCCGATTCCATCGAGTTTCGCTCGTTCAAAGATCCATCGCTTCTCTTAAGCTCGCTGGAGAACACCACGGCTCCGGAGCTGGCAACTTCGCCAGATAGCTCCCCGTCGACAGCGATGTGGTTCTCAATGACAGAGGTCGGAGAGGAAACGTCAGTTTTCTTAAAGGGGTTTGGGGACGGGAGGGGCTGAGCAACGGGGAGAGAAAGGTGGTCGGAAAGGAGAGCAGGAGAGACGACGGCTGCGATGGGGATCCGCTCGATCTCGATCGGGATGGCCTGAGGGATCTCATAAGGGATTGGCGGACCACTATACTCAACGGCTAAAGCGTAGTCGACAGCATCGCCGCCACCAGTGGAGAGGTGTTTCGACTGAAGGGAACGATCCATAGCACGGCGAAACGCCGGTGGTGCTCGAAACCCTAACAGAGGAACAACACGCGGAGTAGTGGGGGTAGTGAGGAGGAGACTGACCAAAGCGAGGAGAGGGAGTTATTCAGGAGAAATGTCTCCCTGTAGCGACGGAGTAACAGCATCAACAGCATTTCTTTCGAGTAATGTTTTTTATCCCAACCGTCAGGTCAAAAATAAATAAAAGAATATATCGTTATTTTTTTTATTTTTATAAAAATATCCAGGAAAATAGATATTTATTTTTTTAAAATAGTATTAATAATATTTTGATATAATGTTTAAAATTTTAGTATTCTCTACAGATATTAATATTTAGTTATATTCAAAATATTCTCAATAAATATAAATTCAAATTTCATAAACATGCATGCAATGAATAAAAGCAAAGAGAATCATACGCTTATATTTTGTTGTCATTACATTTTTGTGTAAGCCTATGACTACTATGTTTATGTTTATCAAAAAGATAACATGTAAATCCAACGGTTCAGAAGAAAAGAATGTGATGAAGATTGTTCCTTGCAGAAGAGATCGCGATCCCCAACAAGCCGGACGAGTCAAGTGTCACAACTCGGTTAGATAGTGTGAATTAATTTTTTTATATTAATCTATAATTAAACAGATGAAAATCACTAATCAAATTAAATTAAAGTGGTGCAGTTAAAATTAGATCGTTACTGATTGTCTGTGTCTTCAATAAACGTTATCATTTCTATCGTTTATCTTTTAAATCACTTAAAGTTTACCTGAAAAGTTTGTTCAAAAGAAACTGTGGGTTAAACAAGTCAGTGAATACTCATACTCCTAAACTACAACAATATAAAGAAAAAAAATCATAATATGCATGTTAGTTATGCTTCTTTATAAATCAATACAAACATTTAACATGTTATTCAAAAGAGTCTTATTATATCAATAACATATCAATATCATTTATATATATACAACCATTACAAGAGCACCGTCTAATAATTGTTCTACTTAAGGTACTTCAATATCAATATCATTGTTCATTTAAGTATTTGGGTACATTAGTATTCCTCCACTAGTACCATCAAGGGTGACTCCGTCATAATTAATCATGCGCATAAAAGCATCCAATAAAAATATCACTTTCTAAAAAATATAAAAATATATTCATTTCTCATTTGCATAGCAATCAAATCATTCAATAATGATGTTCTCACATATTTGTCCTAAAATATGTACAAAAATATGCCTAGAACTTAAAATTGTGAGTTTGCAATAAATTTAATATAACTAATAATAGTCCAATAAATTAATTTCGTTAATAAGGGACAAAATAACACCATGGTATAAGAACATGATTACTCACCTCAAAGTTATATGGCTTGTTTCAATAAGTTTAACCTTTGCCTCCAATAGTTAGCTGCCTACAATATCGTAAAAATATAAGTTTAACTATATCATTAATTATGCTTAATTAATAACTTAATTACTTATGTAACTTTAATTTTTGATTGGAAACTTTATTTTAAGTATTTATGTTATTTTAATTTGACAATCAAAAGTTCAACTAAATCAACATTTATGATTTTATTCAATATCCAATAAATGTCCACACAAATTTAAATAAGTAATTGTAACTTTTATTTCATATTTCAAATAAATTTGTCATATTATTATTTTTATTATATTTAAATTTATATGAACTAATTAATATATAATATTAGAAAAACAAAACTTAATATTCTTACATTGCCAAAAGTTCGGCCCGGTTCAACACCTGCAAGTATTTCTTCTTCCTTCGCACGCTAGAGCTTGGATGAAAGATCCTCTTCCTCTCCTTTGTCAGTCTCTCAATTCGACCAGAGAAGCACACAGAGAGACTTCCTCCTTCAATGACTTTGACTCCTCTTCTCTGCGAGATCTGGATCACGCACAAACTTCTATCTATCTAGCTTTCTCACTTGCTCGACAGTGTCGATGACACAACTGCAACTTCGACATTCGCGGCTCAACACTGACCCCACCCCTCTTCTTCTACTATGTGATGATCCTTCCTCTCTTCTTCATCTTCGTTGGTAAAGTGGGGGCACGGGTTCCTTCACCCTTGAAGCTCGATGAAACATTTTCTTCATCTTTCTTTTTTATCAATTCTTAAGTAAGTCATCAGTCATGATTTATAGGCAAACTTCACCAATGTAGCTTCACGATCCTCTCGCTTCACCTCCCCCCTCTTTGGCTTCCCAACTCCTCATTTCGTTTCTCATGACTCATCAATTTTTCTTCGATTCTTCGTTATCCCTCCCTCCCAGTAATGGAATTCGGACGTTACATCAAGTTGAATAGGCCAAAGCCAACTGAGTCTAACAATTGACCAGAAAGAACTAAGTGATCCCAAAGCCAGGAACGCATCTATACCATCAATTATAGCAAAACTGACTCAATGTAGTAATATATCCCTCAACAGAGATGATTCGATGGAAAAGCTAGCCCCATAAAGCATCTTTCTACCATCTAGCGGAGGCCAGAAGTCTCATTAGAAATAGAATCTCATAGTCAACCAAGCTCAACCAACCAAGCTGAGTAGATCAAGCCCCGCCGTCTAGGGTAAACGACCAAACCAAGCTGACCAAGCTGAGGTGACCAACCCAAAAAAAAATGGATGATACATTATTACATAAAATGCCTAATATCCCCAATGTAAACCTCATTCAAATGGGGATACAAATATAATATCATCATTATAATAAATCCTCTAAAAATATGGGAAGTATTCAATGAAGAGCACAATGTCTTAATCATTCATCTCTCTCTCTCTCTCTCTCTCACACACACACACACACACACACACACACATCTTATTTATGATATATTCTTTAGATGGGATTCACAATCACATTTGGATTCAACATCCTAAAAGGAGCAGTGAGCATGAATCATGCCACCAACAAGAAGAGGAGTAATGCAATGTGAAAGAACTGATAATAGGGAGGTGACATGAGTTAATTTTACGTGATTTCACCAACTTTTTACCCTACATTTTACCTGTTATTTTTACTAATTTATCACAAATTTACATTTGTGTAATGTGTTTATTTTTGTTGTGCAGGTTACATGTGTTAAATACATGCATTTTAAAATGAGAAAACCCAACGAAAAAGAAGTCTAAATCGGCGTGACCAAATCTGAAAGAGGAGTGACCACACCATCTTATCATCATAAGTGGCATGACCATGCCAAATTTGCGGAGGCCATCATGACCATGTCAAGATCAGGCATAAGCACCCCACTCGATTCAGAAGGTTGGCATGGCCACGCCACATTTGAGTGTGACCATGCCAACGGAGTGGGAATCTATTTTGGCAAGAACTTTTCTTTCTAAATTCATGGATCAAGTTATAAAAATCATATATTAGCACTCTTTTGGAGGTGGAGATATCTGGAGATGGCTACAGAGCAGAAAGAGAGGGGTTTGGATAGTTTCTTCCTTAAGTTTCTCTTCCTCTCTAAGGGTTGAGTTCCTAATAGATTTTCCTACGTATTGTTTTGTATTTTCTTACATATTTTGACATGATTATTTTATGAGAGAGTAGTTTGTTAATTTAGAAGAGCAAACAATTTATTTTGTAAGTTCTTACCTTTTAATTTTACTTGCAACAATGATTTTGATGAACTATTTTTCTGGTGTTCTTTCTAACATGTGTAGCTAAATTTTCTTCCACACCTCTATGATTCATGGTATGTGGTTTTAAAGGTTTTCTTAGATGATTTCTTTCTATGTATTATTTTTTTGAGGTATCAGGGTGTTTCATTATTGTGCTAACCATAAAGTTTCATTTACTTCTGATTTGGCCAATTATGATGTTAACATACTGTAACTCCCTATTGTGCAAACGAACAAAATCATTAACTATAAAATCCATGTTACAATAGCCATTTTTTATCTGGGTTTTTCAACCTTGAAAGGGGATCAACATAAATCTGCGAGATGTCATGAGGATTGAAGCCTCAATTTTATAGATTATAACCTTTTTTGTTTGTCCTAGAATATGCATAAGGAAGACTGTCTTTCCC